CTCGACGCTTTGTTTACTGTTGTGCTGTTCCACAAAAGGGACCCAGACAGACGCGACGAGTTTGACGTCATGGCTTCACAGCTCTTCACTGATTGGGCGGTGCGCAGTCTACAACTTCCAGGGTTCTTGTAAACCGTCTAGTGTATTCTGATTCCTGATCTAGTCGCTGGAGAGAAATGACGCATTGACAGAGAGTGTGGATTTACCACCAAATAAAAACAAGGCCACATGAAAACAGATGTCACAGAGAGAAAAATAACAATCATGGATCGTGAAAAGTCCTACTCACTGTCTGTTGACTTTCTTCCTCGGACTCCCGTCAACCGTCAGACTCCAACCAACGAGAAGACAACCAGCCCGGAAAGGGTCTCAAGGACTCGCTGTCAAATCCGCCGTGGCCACGGTCTTTCTGGATTCTCAACGTCTGCTGGAGTCCTCAGGTGTGTTGGGATCCGGCTGGAAAGACCAAGTTAATGTCAGGTTTAAACCCACCTAAACATTGTAAAAACAAGAAGAAAGACAAGAGATTAGAATAGTTTTCTCATGAGGAGGGCGGACAGAGAGTGCATTTACCGTTACAATCTCGACCCGCTCTGATGCACTCTCTGCGTCTCCTCTTTTTATTGTCTTAGGAGGGTCCCTAGTTACAATGGGTGTCTCCGCTCTCAGGGAGAGGGGGTGAAAACAGCAGAAACACCAGACATACAAATATGACAAATATGTGTTATCAACAGCAGGTGCATATGTTTCGTTTAGCTTTCAGACACAGCTTTCTCCATGCAGCCTTGAAAGTCATCTGCTCCCAGGCTCCGAGCGCCGAATCGCCGTTGCTCACACATGACTGCATACAGTTTCCAAGCACAAAAGATTATTCAAATACACAAAGAATGGTACATAGCAAATATAGCAAATATGGGATAATATATACAATTATTCTAACAGATCGCATCATCAACACCAGCGAGTATTTGTACTTATACAAGTCATTATTTATGTGCCAAGCTCTGACACAACATCGATCTGCTGTGGAGAAGACGACAGCGACGCCCAATCCAAAAATGTAATCTTATCAGGTGAACACTGATACATGCAAGACAAACGGTACGTAATCCTTTCTGTAGACTTAAAACTTTTAATTTCATACGTGATAGTTTCAATTTCTCTTGGTGTGTTTATTTTACGGCGTGTGACCCGGATGAACGTGCTGACGTCTTCTGTGTCGTCACGGTTCGCTTAGGAAAAACAAGTTTAAAAAAAAAAACAAGTTCCCGAACGCTTTGATTTCTGGCGTGAAGACATGAGTCAGTTCAAGATTTGGCGCGGGAACCGAAACTGGCACAGTTCTCTGTCGGCCTGAAAACGCCTTAGGTGGCACCAGCCTGGCTAATAAAGTTGTTCATCATAAACAAAACCAGACCTGGAGTTGTGTTTGTGATGCTCGTTGGGTCGACTGTGGAAAAAGTTTGGATCATGTTTGTGTCCGTGGAGTAAAGACAAACTGAGATGACAGAAAAGTCGGCAGCAGCTGAAGTGTTTGTGTTTTCTTCTGGTCGATGTAAATACGTTTGTGCCTCTGTCCAATCAGAACTCTTCACGACCCTCACTCAGGACTAAACCAGAGACTGAAAAAAAAAAGTACTGTTAGTGCTGTTAAAATGAGCGTGAGAAAGAGGGAAAAAAAAATCCCTCGAGTTCAGAGTTCCTGTATAATAATGATTTTGTTCCGTGTTGGTGGGTATATATATAAAGTTATTTTTGAGCAACTGAAGATAAAGAAAAAAGGGAAGTTAGAGAGAAGAGCAAACACGGCCGTGGAAACGTTTATGAGGCGTCGGTCACACAAGGGGGCGGGGCTTCCAGGGGCGGCAAGTGAGGGGCACGTGATCCAGTTCAGGCGCCACAGAGAAGCAGCAGGACTAAAAGTGAAGTGTCACTGTGAAGTCTGTGTTACCAAAACTAAACTAAAGCCAGGACTTAAACATATCTGAAACAGGTCTAAACTAGGACTAAAACCAGAATGAACCAGGACTAAAGCCAGGTCTAAATCTGGACTAAAACTAGGTCTGAACCACGTTTAAATCATAAAAAACCTAGATCTGAAGTGGGTCTAATCCAGGACTAAAGCAGGACAAAACCCAGTCTAAAACAGGTCTGGACCAGCACTTAAAGCGGGTCTAAATCAGGTCTAAACCAGGATTTAAACAGGAATGAACCACGTATGAACCAGGACTGAACTAGGATTAAACCATGGTTGAACCAGGACTAAAACCAGATCCAAGTCTGGACTAAAACTGGTTATGGACCAGGTCTAAATCATAACAAAAATAGCTCTAAAGTGGGTCTAATCCGGGACTAAAGCAGAACGAAACAAGGTCTAAACCAGGAATCAACCAGGACTAAAACCAGGTCTAAACTAGAACTAAAACGGGTCTGAATCAAGTCTAAACCAAAAATGAACCAGGACTAAAGCCTGGTCTAAATCTGGACTTAAACTGGGTCTGAACCAGGTCTAAACCGTAACGAAACAAGAAAGTGGATCTAATCCAGGACTAAAACAGAACAAAACTAAATCTAAACCAAGTTTAAACCAGGACAAAAACTGGATCTGAACCAAGTCTAAACCAAGAATGAACCAGGACTAAAGCCGGGTCTAAATCTGGACTTAAACTGAGTCTGAACCAGGTCTAAATCATAACAAAACTAGAGCTAAAGCGGGTCTTAGCTGAGACTAAAACAGGATGAAACCAAGTCTAAACCAAGTCTAAACCAGGTCTAAACCAGGTCTAAACCAGGACTAAAACTGGGTCTAAACCAGGACTGAACCAGGTCCAAACCAGGTCCAAAAGAAAAACTAAACCAGGTCCAAATCAGTACTACACCAGGTCTAAACCTGGTGTAGTTTGACCTGGTGGCACCGGCTCGTCCTCAGTTTCCTCTTCTCTCTTTAACCTACTTTTATTACACTTTTATTACACGTTTATTACACATTTATAACCCTTTATTACTGCACATACTTTCACTTGAGGCACATGAGGACACAGTGGCACAGGGAGTTGAGCACACGCCCCATCACCACAGGCTCAGTGGACAGATTCGTATGTGGATGTGGGAAAATAAAATCTAAATATGAACAAATAAAAAATCTGAGAGAGTTTCAGTTTAAATAAATCTTTAGTTTAAACAAATTACAGTAAACATGTATAAAAATCACATTGTACATTCATTTGGTCACATGACGCTGAGGCGCGCTCTGATTGGTCAAAACATTCACCCTTTTACATAAACAGTAAAAACTCTTCATTTAATAAAACACGACGTCGGACATTTTGTGAAGGAATTATCAGGAAAAGTTCAAATTATTTCTGTGTCGTCTGAGTTCAGAGGTTTATTTTTAATGACTTTTGAGTGTTTTGTAAATTGTATCTTTTATTTCTGGATGTGTGAAAGTGAAAAAAAACGAGAGTCCTGATTCTGTGGTTAGAAAAAAACTCCAGTGTTTCCAGCAGAGGGCGCAAGGACTCCACCGACTGGAGCATTAAGGAAGGAAAAACACCAAAGGAGGAACAAGGTCTGAACCAGGACGAAACAGAGCCTGAACCAGGTCTAAACAAGGACTAAACCAGGTCTAAACCAGGTCCAAACGAGGTCTAAACAGGACTAAACCGAGTCTAAACCAGGACTAAACAGAGTCTGAACAGGTCTAAACCAGGATTAAACCAGGTCTAAACCTGGTCTAAACCAGATCTAAACCAGGTCCAAACCATGTCTGAACCAGGACTAAACCAGGATTGAACCAGGTCTAATCCGAGTTTAAACCGGGACTAAACAGAGACTGAACCTGGTCTAAACCAAGACTAAACCCGATCTAAACCAAGTCCAAACCAGGTCTAAACTGAGTCTAAACCATGACTAAACCAGGTCTAAACCAGGTCTAAACCAGGTTTAACCCACAACTAAACCAGGTCCAAACCAGATCGAAACTAGGACTAAAACAAGTCTAAATCAGGTCTAAACTGGATCTAAACCAGGTCCAAACAAGGTCTAAATAGGACTAAACCAGGTCTAAACAAGGATGGAGTCCCAGTGCAGATTTATAGTTGTGGTGTTTTAGTCCCAAACGTAAGAGACAAAAGTTCAGTTTTGACGACGCCATTTTGGCTCAAGTCCACCATAACATTTGTGCCGCGGTTCAGATCTGCACCACAGGGACAGTCCGGTCCAGTGTCCGGTCCAGAGTCCGGTCCAGTGTCCGGTCCAGTGTCCGGTCCAGTGTCCGGTCCAGTGTCCGGTCCAGAGTCCGGTCCAGAGTCCGGTCCAGAGTCTGGTCCAGACTCTTTGTGAGCGTCTTCTACAGGGAGAACTGTGAGTCTTGGCCTGGGTCAGGTCTTTGAGTTTGCATGTTCTCCCTGTGTCTGGGCCATAGACTGTATATATGTCAGCGTTCCACAACAGGAAGTGAGCACGGACGCACATCTGGCTCCACCAACTCAAATTCTATTGAAAAACCGTCACTCCTCTCTCCGTAAATGCTGCGGTCAGGCTCGTCATTTTGGTCTTAAAATGTTCGTTTTTACCAGCTCTTCGTGATCCTGGGGTTTTTATTTCGATATTTGGTCCTTAAATCAAGATATGGAACATTAATCGCAGACCAATCAGACGCCTTCTTTCCCCATGGCGTGTTCAACAGCCCCTCTCAGTCAGAATTCCAAATAGAATTCCAAACTTGGCTCCAAATTCCCACTTTAACCTCGACGAGCTTCACTTAATCCACTTTTTTATACAGTCTATGGTTCACGAAGTTTTAAAGAAGAGACACTGAAAAATGTTAAACGCTGAGGATTTATTTCAAACAATATACTGTCTCTTTTTGGAATCTTTGCGTTACTTGAGTACAGTTTCATGCTACTCGAGTACACGCAGGTGTGCGTGGCTGTCCGTCGCCGTGCCCTCGGTTAAAATCGGCGGAGATTCGCAGGTCCGGCCCGGGTGGGAGCGTCGGGTCAGAACTCCTCCTTGATGCTGATGCTGCTGGTTACCATGGCGCTGCTGTTGCTAGGGGTGAGGGATGCGTTGCCGGGGGGCGTGGCCGTGGTGGTAGAGGACGCCGGCTGCTGCTGCTTCTTCTTGTTGATCTTTCGTTCTTTGGCGCGGCGATTCTGGAACCAGATCTTCACCTGGAACGAACAAAAAGACACGTGAAACCAAAAAGAGAAAATATATTTATCACACTCGTTTCTGGGCTGTTATAAAGTTGTTTCCCCATTAAAAACACAAACATTTTTGTCAAAAGCTTTGCTACATTTTACATTTATGACTAATAAGTACTGATTCATCAGCTTGTTTCACATTTCAATGGAAACAATCTACAGGTACTTTTTTTATTTAACCAATCGCTGCTGTTTGGTCGTGACGTATGTAATGCCCCGGAGCATTCAGTGGTGTCCGAGTATTTGCTGGCACAACAGCAAACAAAACAGAGAGTGAACATGTCTGTCAGCGATCACTATAGTTTCTGTGAGATGAATTTGCGAATTAAAGGAGCAATAGAAAACGCCAAGTTTGTATTTGACAAAGGAAATCCAAAGGAAGATAGAGTATGCAGTCTGCTATCACAACTCGGGTTGGTTTAACTCTTCTCTGACTGGCCGAAGTCTACAACTTCCGTTGATCTTGCAAATCGTCTAGTGTATTCTGTTTCCTGGCCTAGTCGCTGGAGAAAAATGAAACAGTGGAGGTAGGACTGTCGCGGATAGGTAGTTTCTCCTGCAGTCTGGTATAGCTGCTCAACACCGCGGTATGTGGGGATATTGCATCCCCTCCTCCACCCACATCTCTCGGAGTTATAATATTTCCAGCGGCTCTTAAAACTCTTTTTGATGATGCACTTGTTGCAGATGCACAAGTATCTTGGTTGTCGTGTGGATATAGTGTGTGTTGTGGAGAAGTAACATTTGGCTTGTTGCATCTCTCCAGCTCTCACTGTGGCAGCTCAGGTCAAAGTCCCGCACCAGGTCGGGTCAGAGTCCCGCACCAGGTCGGGTCAGAGTCCCGCACCAGGTCGGGTCAGAGTCCCGCACCAGGTCGGGTCAGAGTCCCGCACCAGGTCGGGTCAGAGTCCCGCACCAGGTCGGGTACCTGTAGACTTGAGAGAGAGCCCTGAGCATGAGCACACAGAGCAGGTGTCTGCAAAGCGCGATTGAGCGACGGCCACGATTAACTCTGTGCGGTGTGGAGCTGTGGTGGTCCACCCGTTTCACCTGTAACCCGATGGTCTTCGTGGGCGCACCTGGGTTAGTCCAGAGTTAGTCCTGGGTTATCACGGGCATGGCCTCTTAGTACCGAGGTGATTCATTTTTGTGGTTATGGCAACTGACCTAAGTGGAGGCACTAGGTGGCTCCAGCCTGGCTAGATCTAAATGTCATTATTGTAGAATAGAACCTACTGTCCATGATTTTACCAAATAAGATGAAGTGAATATACTGAAGATACATATTTCAGATTTGAGGAACTGACTGATTCACTGGCACAGCTTCACCACACGAGTTCTATGAATGAAAACTTAAGTTCACTTGACTTGCTGTGCTGAGTTCGATGAAAGAGGAATTTACTGAACACTACACTGAAGAATGACTTGTAGCTCAGCTTTAGATAAACAATCACTTTAGTGAGATTTTTCAAGTCAGTAGCAGAGAACTATAATAAAATCTGGAAGCTGAACCCAAGATGGTGCCGTACTGTTTTCAATGGGCAGTGCTCAATGGTGCAAAAAAAAAAAAGTTCACTTCCGTGTTTTGATTGGCTGTAGTCTCTCACCTGTCTCTCTGATAGGCTGAGGGCAGAAGCGAGCTCCGCCTTTCTCCTGATGGTGATGTATTTGCTGTAGTGAAACTCTTTCTCCAGCTCCAGTCTCTGGTGGTCGGTGTAGACCACACGGTACTTGTCCTTGGTTCTAGTTTTACCGTCTGAAAATCACAAAACAGAAAAACAAAAGTCATATTTAAGTTTCAGGCTTTAATGACCTGCATTTGACCCAAACAAGATTAAACCAGGACTAAAACAAGAATAAACCAGGACTAAAATAAGACTAAAACAAGACTAGAACAAGAATAAAGTAAGCAAACAAACAGGACAAAACCAGGACTGAAGCAAGACTAAACCAGGACTAAACAAGGACTAAACCGGGACTAAACCTGAGACTTCAACAGGTCTAAACCAGGACTAAATGCGACTAAACCAGGACTAAATCAGGGCTGAACTTGTACTAAACCAGGACTAAAACAAGACTACACCAAGACTAAAACAAGAATAAATCAGGACTAAACCCGTTCTAAACCAGGACTAAAACAAAAATACACCAGGAGTAAAACAAGTCTAAACCAGGACTAGAACAAGAATAAACCAGGGCTAAACCAGGACTAAAACCATAACTAAAACAAAAACTTCAACGGGACTAAACAAGAATTAAACCAGGACTAAATCAGGGCTAAATTCATACTAAACCAGGACTAAAACAAGACTAAAACAAGACTAAACCAGGACTAAACCAGAGACTCCAACAGAACAAAACCAGGACTAAATGAGAACTAAACTAGGAGTAAAGTGTCTCTTGCCTCCATGTGTGAGAACAAGATCATTACGTTATCAAACCCTACAGGATTTATTTTATTTTATTTTGTTTTATGACCTCTCCAACAGAAATACAATCCCGAACATGATTTTTATTGTGCAGAGTTTAAATAATTATCTGTGGATTAATTGTCCATAAAAAGTCCATAAAAAATGTGTTAAAGTGAATTACAACTGTTTGTGTTCAGAGGGTGAAGCGTCTGGGGTGAGGGAAGTCTCATTTCAGCCCTGGAGACTAATAAAGAAATCTACAGTATGTTTTTCTGGAGATAACAAGATTAAAACCCTTAAATATCAGATGTTTTGTCCGTGCAGATGTTGATTGTGGGTTGAGGCTTTTACTGTGAAAGGTGAAGTGAGATAAATGCTTTTATTTTGAAGGTTCAGGTTTAACGCTGTGATTCTGTATTAACTGAACTCAAACAAAGTCAGACTCTAATGATCTGCAAACATTTAAAAACACGTGCACACATGCCACAGACTCCAACTGGACTAAACCAGGACCAAACCAGGACTAAATCAGAGACACCAACAGGACTACACTGGGTCTAAACCAGGGCTAAAACAGGACTACACCGGGTCTAAACCAGGACTATACCGGGTGTGAAAGGAGTCTGAACCTGAGTCTCCAACAGGACTAAACCAGGACTGAACCAGGACTACACCAGGTCTAAACCAGAGTCTCCAACACGACTAAACCAGGACCAAACCAGGACCAAACCGGGTCTGAACCATGACTGAATCAAGACTGAACCAGGACTAAACCAGGACTAAAGCGGGACTAAACCAGGACTAAACTGGGTTTGAACCAGGTCTAAACCAGAAATAAACCCGAGACTCCAAAAGGACTAAACCAGGACTAAAACAAGACTAAACCAGGACTAAACCAGGACTAAACCGGGTCTGAACCAGGACTAATCTGGATTTGAACCAGGTCTAAACCAGGACCAAACCTGAGACTCCAACTGGACTAAACCAGGACCAAACCGGGTCTGAACCAGGTCTAAACCAGAAATAAACCTGAGACTTCAAAAGGACTAAACCAGGACTAAAACAAGACTAAACCAGGACTAAACCGGGTCTGAACCAGATCTAAAACTGAGACTCCAACAGGACTAAACCAGGACTAAAACAAGACTTAACCAGGACTCAAACAGGTCTAAAATGGGTCTAAACCGAGACTAAACCAGAGACTCCAGCAGGACTAAACCAGGACTAAACGAGAACTAAGCCAGGACTAAAGAGGGCCTAAACCAGAGTTCTTAACCAGAAATAAACCAGGTCTAAATAAGGACATATTGTCAAAAAAAAAAACATGATAATAATTAAATAAGTGAATAATTTGAAGCAGCAGCAGAACTACAGCAACATTTGTAGTAGCAGTAGTAGTAGTAGTAGTAGTTGTATTTATCTTATCTAGTATCTAGCAGTACTAGTATCTGTAGAAAGTATTATTAGGACATATAATTAGGCGTCTCTGTGTTT